CTCCAAATGGATTAAAGATTTAAATGTAAGATCTGAAACCATGAAACTCCTACAAGAAAACATAGGAATAAAGCCCCTTGACATGGGTCTTGGTAACAATTGTTTGGATATGACACGTAAAGCACAAGCAACAGAATAAAAAATAAACAAGTGGGACTATTTCAAACTAAAAAGCTACTGCATAGCAAAAGAAGCTGTCAGCAAACTGAAAAGGGAATCCACAGTATGAAAAAAAATTGCAAATCATATACCTTATAAGGGGCTAATATCAAAAATATATAAAGAACTCATACAACTCAACATCAAAAAATCAAATAATCCAGTTTTTAAAAAATTGGCAAAGAATCTGAATAGAAGTTTCCTGAAAGAACATATACAAAAGGTCAACAGGTATCTGAAATGATGTTCAGCATCACTAGTTGCTAGGGAAATGCAGATCAAAACCACAATGAGGGGTCATCTCATACCTATTAGAACGCCCATTATTAAAAAGACAAGAGATAACAAATGCCGGTATGGATGTATAGAAAAGAGAACCCTTGTGCACTGTTGGTAGGACTGTAAATTGATATAACCACTATAGGAACAATCGCTATAGGGGATCTTCAAAAAAAAATAGCATTATCATATGATCCAGCAATTCCATTTCTGGAACTATAGCCAAAGGAAATGAAAACACTAACTTGAAAGATATCTGCACCCCCATGTTCATTGCAGCATTACTTACAACAACCAAGACATGGAAAAAACCTGTTTCCATCAGTAGACGACTGGATAAAGAAGTTGTGGTACATATATACAATGGAATGTTATTGAGCCATTAAAAAAAAAGAGCAATCCTATCATTTGCCATAACATGGATGAATCCTGAAGTATTGTGCTAAGTAAAATAAGTCAAACAGAAAAAGAGAAATACTGTATGAACTCACTTATATGTGGAATCTAAAATAAACAAACAAAATACAACAAAAAACAAACTCTTAGAAAAAGAGATTAGATTTGTGATTACCAGAAGCCAAGGGTGGAACAAGGGGGAAACTGAAGAAGGTAATGAAAAGATACAAAGTACCAGCTGTAAAACGACTAAGTACTAGAGATGTAAAGTACAACATGATGAGTATAACTAATATTGCTGTATAATAGGCAAGAAAGCTATTAAGAGAATAAGTCCTAAGGGATCTCATCATGAGGATTTTTTTCCCTTTTTTTCTTCTTCCCTTTCTTTTTATTGCATGTATATGAAAAGATGGATGTTAACTGAATCTATTGTGGTAATCATTTTGCAATATATATAAATCAAAGCTTCAAGCGGTATGCTGTAAATTTATACAGTAATAAAAGTCAATTATTTTTCAATATAACTGGAAAAATATTAAATTGTTATATCAGATATTAAGCTCAAGAAATCAGAATTGCATTGTGCCAGAACTTGACTGGTAAAAGTTATCAATGGAACAGAATGCTAATCCCCAAAAGAAGGTCAGGTTTCTTTAACAATTTTAATAAGTTGAAGGTAACATTAAAAAAAAAAGTGGTTTTTTTTTAACAGATACTTTCACTTTCTTACATGAGTTGGTTTAGTTTTTTTTTTTCAGCACTGATACCATTCCTAAGCTTAAAGCTATAAGGTGAGAAATGCTCATTCTACAAAATGCTGTGTTTGCATAACTCTTCAGTGACTGGAAGCCAACTTTCAACCAATTTTTGAAGAGATATTCGTTCATAATAACTAACCTTTTCAAGTCATAGATATGTAATAATAAGTACTCTGTGTTACCATTTTCCATAATGTTTAGACAACATTTTCACATTATTAATTGAAGAAATTAAAAAATTCTTCAGTGCCCTGGAAGGTAAGAACATGGTAAGTATGGGATGGGGAGAAGGGTGGAGCTGGGTCGTCATCTCTAATAAATATCTAACCAAAAACAGGAAAGAGAAAATAAGACTGAAAAGAAAAACCTGCACAGAATAAATGACATCAAATGTTCAAATGCACTTGATTTAGCTTCATCACTACTTTGTTTTGAGTCATCTCGGTCAACCACTGTCAACTAATCAATCTCTATCCTCTGTGAGGGGAGATCAAGGGCAACAGCAGTGCCTTAATGATTTCAATCTCTAGCCTTCAAGGGGATAGATTATAGGGATTGGAAGCAAATCAGTCTTTCACAGGGCAATTCAGCCCACAGCCTCTGACAAAGCTTGATTAGAATGGAAAACTGTTAAACCAGCAAAAACAAGACATAATTATGAGGGAGGAGGAAATATAAGACTAATGAATTTTAGTGTTCATAACAAGATAAAATTAATATGTTTTTATTAGTTCTGGTGTAGCCATCCATGTAGTCATTTAGAAGTCTAAATGGGGCAAGAAGAAACTCATAAGAGAACATTCTTCAGCAATTTCTTGTTTTTTTTCTCATTAGAAAAGTAGACATAGAGATGATGATCAGTCTCTTCATTGTTTCTAGGCTCCTGTCATAATCACTTTCAAAGAAAAACAAATCCAAAAGCAAAAATTTGAATACTAAAGTCCTCACAATCCTAAATCTTCTAGAAATCCATTTATGCTTTGAATTTAAGTAGTGCACCCTTTCAGTATTTAATTGCTCCCTAATGTTTTCATTTGCATATGATTCTTCTCTAAGAGTAGATAATATGCCCCCTTTTGTAGGTACCTTTAGAACCTTCACCATCTCCACTGACTTATTAAAAACACAACTGAACGATAGTTTCACTTAATGATTGTAATTATTTTGATATATGCCACATGGAACATAAAGTGTTTCCTAATTTAAATCCCCTTTAAAGCTATTATACCTATGTGACTATACTACTGAGAAGTCAGAACCTCTTTCCTGCAGTTACAGGAAGGATTTTCTGATATGTATATTTGGAGATTCAGAATTTCATCTTATTTGAATGGAAAAAATTTAGGGGAAATAAATACTAATTCAAAATATAAATACCTCAAATATGAAAATTGTTGTTTAAAGTACTGTCCTCCAAAGTTACAACTAAACCAGTGTTTCTGAACTGTTTTCCTTAAAACACTACTAATAAAAATGATCCTGAAATGCTAGATTAAATAAAATATATTACCTCATCTTCAAATTTCTCAGAACCTTGAGCAAATGAATGGCTATTGCTAAAATCTCAAAGGTAGACATAACTTGAAGTTTTGTTTCCCAACATATTTGACCATGAAATGTTTTTTTTTCCTCCCTAGAAATAGCTACTAATGCTAGGCTCAGTGTTTCTTGTATAACTTAAAACACAATGAAGTGAATTTATTCTTGTCTTATAAACATACCCTAAGAATATGAAAACATTTACTTACTAATGAAACAGGCAGAGAATGAAAGCTGGTTCAGAGAAGAATTGAAGTGAGTGTGTATACACAATCACAGAAAGAAGGTATATTAGAAGAAGATTGCTAAATTAGATACAAAACTGGTTAATATTTTAAAGGGCAATAAAATCATATCCTTCAAGGGTATTTTTTCTACCAGAAAAAACAATAGTTTGTCTCTCTACTAGACAAAAATCTATAAGTTCACATAAAACTTCAGGGAGTCAGAGCCATAATCGATAGTAAATACTAAGTTAAAGAAAGATGCATTTTCTTAGAAAATAAAATGATCTTTGAGGAGGTCTTTTTCAGACAATAATTCAGTATAACATTAAAAGGACATCTAGCTATCCTTTGGCCTTATTTTTAAGTTTTAGAGTTTAATAAGCTTGAGTGTATCATAGTTACTCATTTAATAAATATATATTCAGCACTTATTAATTGTCAGGCATTGTGTTAGGTGTTGGGAAGGTGATGGTAAAGAAGAAGGATACTCATCCTTCTATAAATTTACTGACTAATGAGCAAGAGGGACATATAAAAAGGAAATAGAAAAGTAGTTTGATGTGTGTTAACATATAGTGACTGTGATATACAAGAGATATTCCTCTTATAACACCAATCTTAGGGATTTTCTAAAGAAGTGACATCACCTAAATGATAAATTGGAGTTATCTGGGCAAAAAGTAGGGGTGGGAGAGTGGGGAAGGAGTGGAGTGTGGGGGTCAAAATGTCACTTCAGGAAGTGAGAATAATGAGCTATAAGTAGTAATTTGTATTGCAAGATTGGGATGTACAATGGGAGGGTTGATGGATGGATGGGTGTGGTGGATGTTTTGGCAAGAAAGGCTGTGAGGAGATGGTGCAGAGGTCAAACTATGGAGCGGTTGGTGGAGCATCTTACAGAATTCAGATTTTATCCTGGGGCATTGAAAATTAAAGCATTTTTAGCAGGGTAGGCAGCATGATCTGACTTGCATTTTAGAAAAATCCTTTTTGATAGCAGTTTGGAGAGAGGATTTAGGGAGTTTGAGGAGGACAGCAAGGCAAATAGAAATAAAAAATGAGGAAGTTATTGAAAAATTTAGGTGAAAGGTGGTATAGTAGCCACAGGGAAATAGAGAATTACAAAATTGGTTAATTGGTTTATATGCAAACCACAAATTCAATTAATGGATAGTTCAACCTTGGAAAATTTGTTTGACAGTAGTTCAGTTTGAATGTTTCTGTAAATTGTATGTCACACACACATATGTGTATATATATCAACTTATGTGCTGATTATATATTTATTACATACGATATATATATTACATTATATATGAAATGTATATGATATTATCATATGTTTATATAAAAAATAAGTATTTATAGGGGCGCCTGGGTGGCTCAGTGGGTTAAAGCCTCTGCCTTCGGCTCAGGTCATGATCCCAGGGTCCTGGGATCTAGCCCCATATGGGGCTCTCTGCTCAGCAGGGAGCCTGCTTCCTCCTCTCTCTCTCTCTCTCTCTCTGCCTGCCTCTCTGCCTACCTGTGATCTCCATGTGTCAAATAAATAAATAAAATCTTAAAAAAATAATAAGTTTTTTTTTCCGTATCCATTATTTTTTATGTCCAGCGTTTAGAATACGAGGACCAGAGCTCTCTCCCCACCTCAAGTTTATAAGTTTTCGATTGGCTTGTGAGTCCAGTAGGGATACTTCTTGTCTAATTTGGTTTCTGGGAAGGCTTCATTCAGGTCCTCAATGGTCATCTGATCAAACGGAATTATATTCCTTAGCTTCTCCAGCTGTTTTTCGTATTCCACAATCCTGGCCTTTGAGAGAGACAAAAACTCAGCACAACTTTTCACATCTTCTTTTTCTTCAGCGTCCACCTGAACAGTGTATTTATCCTCTGGCACAGGAATCTTCAGGGCATTGAACTTCTTCTCAAAGTCATCTACCAAGCCAGCCTTCGCCACATTGGCCTTGTAGTAAGCCCAGTCGATAGCAGGGGGTTTCTCAGGGAGAGTAGCCAACTTGGAAGTAAGTGTCTCATTCCAAGATTTCAGGGAGTTAGCAATGGCCTTCTGGTTTCGGGGTATGATCTCCCCAAAAGCTACCTTCACCGACCCTGGCTGCCCAGAGCCAAAAATAAGTATTTATAGTCTGACAAAAAGTACTAGTTTAATAACAAAAAAACACTTCCTGAAATTAGCCTTAGAAATATTTTTCTTGATATGTTCCCTGAGGCAAGGGAAACAGAAGCAAATATAATCTGTTGAGACTACACCAAAATAAAAACCTTTTGCACAGTGAATGCAAACATCAACAAATGAAAAGACAGGAGTGCCTGGGTGGCTCAGTTGGTTAAGTGTCTATCTTTGTCTCAGGTCATGATCTTGGGGTCCTGGCATTAAGCCCAGTGTTGAGCTTCCTGCTTAATGGGGAGGCTGTTTCTTTCTCTACCTCTCCCCACCATTTGTGCTCTCTCTCTCTCTCAAACAAATAAATAAAATCTTAAAAGAAAAAACAAAAGAAAGAAAGAAAGAAAAGACAACCTAATCAACAAGAGAAGGTATTTGCAAATGATATATCCAATAAGGTGATAATAACCAAAATATATAAAGAACTCCAACAACTCAACACCAAGAGAACAATATGATTAAAATTTGGGATACGACCTGAATAGGCATTTTTTCAAAGACGACATACCGATGGGCAATTGACATGTGAAAAGATGCTTAACATCACTAATCATAAAAAAAAAAAAATCGGGGCACCTGGGTGGCTCAGTGGGTTAAGCCTCTGCCTTCAGCTCAGGTCATGGTCTCAGGATCCTGGGATCGAGCCCCACATCGGGCTCTCTGCACAGCAGGGAGCCTGCTTCCCTATCTCTCTTTCTGCCTGCCTCTTTGCCTACTTGTGATCTCCATCTGTTGAATAAATAAAGAAAAATCTTTAAAAAAAAATCACTAATCATCATGGAAATGTAAATCAAAACCACAATGTAGTATCACCTTACACCTGTCAGAATGGCCAGAATTAAAAGGACAAGAAATAACAAGTGTTTGCGAGGACACAGAGAAAAGGGAACCAGCATGCACTGTTGGTGGGAATGTAAGTTGCTGCAGCCACAGTATGAATGTTCTTTCAAATATAACTGGTGGGAATGTAAACAGGTGCAGAAAACAGTATGGGGAGAAGGAGCAAGATGGCAGAGGAGTAGGAAACCTAATATCATTGGGCCCCAAGAATTCAGCTAGATAATTATCAAACCATTCTGAACACCTACATATTCAACAGGAGATCAAAGAGAGAGCAGCAATTCTAGGAACAGAAAAGCAACCACTTTCTGGAAGGTAGGATGTGTGGAGAAGTGAATCTGAGGTGACACACAGGAAGACAGACTGCAGGAGGAGGGGCCAGCTCCTGGCAAGTGAGAGAGAAGCAGAGCAAAAAATCGGAACTGCTCCACTGAGGGACATTGCTCCAGTGGCTAAGTGGGGGTGGAACACTTGCAGAAAGAGTGTAGTCTTAGGACCCTTGGTGTCACAGAAAGACTGGGGTTATCTGTGTGTGGCAGAGCTCCCAGGTATTGGAGCAGGGAGGATGGCTGCAGAGATGGAGCCAAGGAGGAGCTCTCAGCTCAGGGTTACCTTAAAGCATGATTCGAGGCACAGTCGGGCCACTGCTCTTTGAGCAGGGAATCCACAGGTGGCAGACCCAGGACACTCATCTTCCTTCACCAGGAGGAGTGGCTTAGGAGTAGGCTGCAGCAATCTGCTGGGTTTGGAGACTCAAAATGGGGCCATGAACCAGAGACCGAAATGCTTGGTCACAGGCTGGGTGAGCATGGAGTGCAGCCAGACACCAGGGAGACAGGAGAGACTGACTATTTTTCTCTGAGGGTGCACTGAGGAGTGGGACCCTGAGCTCGCAGCTTCTCCAGCACTGGAGATTGGGAGGCTACTATCTTCATTCTCCTCCTCCAAAGCTGTATAGAAAGCATTCAGGGAACAAAAGCTACTGAAAGCAAACACGAGCAGATTACTTAGCCTTGTCTCTGGCAAAGGTGGTGCAATTCCACCTTGGGCAAAAATATTTGAGAATCAATGCAACATTCCTGTCCCCCAGAAGATCAACAAGAATATCCAGCCAAGACCCAGTTCACAGATCAATGAGAACTGCAAAACCTCAGAAATACAGGAATATAGCATATGGAATTCATGGCTTTTTCCTTATGATACTTTAGTCTTTCAAAGTTAAATTTTTTAAATCTTTTTTTTCCTATTCTGTTTTTTTTAAATTTTTACTCTTTCCTATTTTAAAGTTCCTTAACTATTTTATCAATACCATTTTAAAAATCTTTTTAAAATTTTCATTGTTATAATCCTATTTCCCTTCATTGTATTTAGTCTTATTTTTTGTACACATATAGGTTTTTCATTCTTTGAAATTTTGGCATACAGTTTCTTCTAACAGATTAAAATATACCCTAAATCTAATGCATGGTTTTGTTCTAGTCTCCAGCCTGATCACATTCTTTCATTTATTTTTTTTTCTTTTTTTTCAACCAACTTCTTATCAATTCCTTTTTTAGAATCTTTTAAAATTCTCATCTTTGCAGTCATAATCCATCTTTTCATCATGTTTACCCTTATTTTTGCATAAATATAAATTTGTCATTCTTTAAAATTTTGTGAGGCAGTTTCTTCTGAGAAACCAAAATACACCCAAAATCAAGCATGTGGGTTTGTTCTACTCAATATAATACACACACACACACACAAACACACACACACACACAATTTTTTTTTCCTCCGTTCTTCTCCCAATTTCAGATCTCTTCTGATTTGGTTAGTGTATATTTTTTCTGGGGTCGTTGCTACCCTTTTAGTATTTTGTTCTATCATTAATCTATTATTATCTGGATAAAATGACAAGGTGGAAAAACTCACCTCAAAAAAAGAATAAGAGGCAGTACCAAGGCTAGGGTCCTAGTCAATACAGACATTAGTAAGATGTTAGATCTAGAGTTCAGAATGATGATTACCAAGGTGTTAGCTGGACTCAAAAAAGCATGGAAGATACTAGAGAATCCCTTTCTGGAAAAATAAAATCCCTTCTGGAGAAATAAAAGAAATAAAATTTAACCAAGTCAAAATAAAAAAAAAATTATTAATGAGGTACAATAAAAAATGGAGGTTCTTACTGCTGAAATAAATGAGGCAAAAGACAGATATAATGATATCGAAGACCAAATGATGGAGAATAAAGAAGCTGAGAAAAAGAGAGAAAACTAACTACTGGACCATGAGGGGAGAATTCAAGAGATAAGTGATACCATAAGATGAAACAGTATTAGAATAATTGGGATCCCAAAAGAAGAAGAAAGAGAGACAGGGGCAGAAGGTATATTGGAGCAAATTATAGGAGAGAGTTTCCCTAATCTAGTGAAGGGAACAAGCATCAAAATCCAGGAAACATAAAGAACCCCCCTCAAAATCAATAAAAATAGGTCCATGCCCCATCATCTAATAGTAAAACTTACAAATCTCAGTGACAAAGAGAAAATCCTGAAAGGAGCTTGGGACATGAGGTTTGTATTATACAATGGTAGAAATATTAGACTGGCAGCAGACCTACCCACAGAGACCTGGAAAGCCAGAAAGGACAGGCATAATATATTCAGAGCACTAAACAAGAAAAAATATACAGCCAAGAATACTATATCCAGCTAGGCTGTCATTGGAAATAGAAGGAGAGATAAAAAGCTTCCAGGACAAACAAAAACTAAAATCATTTGCAAACCAAACCAGCCCTACAGGAAATATTGAAAGGGGCCCTCTAAGCAAAGAGAGAGCCTAAAAGTAACAGACCAGAAAGGAACAGAGACAATATACAGTAACAGTCACCTGACAGGTAATACTATGGCACTAAATTAATATCTTTCAATAGTTACCCTGAATGTAAATGGGCTAAATGCCCCAATCATAAGACACATGGTATCAGAAGGGATTAAAAAAAAAAAAGAAAGATCTATCGATACACTGTCTGCAAGAAACTCACTTTAGACCCAAAGACATTTCCAGATTTAAAGTGAGGGGGTAGAAAACAATTTACCATGGTAATGGACATCAAAAGAAAACTGGGGTGGCAATCTATATATCAGATAAATTAAATGTTAAGCCAAAGACTATAATAAGAGATGAAGAAGGACATTGTACCATAATTAAAGGGTCTGCCCAACAAAAAGATCTAACAATTTTAAATATCAATGCCCCTAACATGGGAGCAGCCAATCATATAAACCAATTAATAACAAAATCAAAGAAACACATCAACAAAAATACAATGGACAGATGATCTAAGCAAAAGATCAACAAGGAAATAAAACTTTAAGTGACACACTGGACCAGATGGACCTCACAGATACATTCAAAACATTCCATCCCAAAGCAACACAATACATATTCTTCTACAGTGCACATGGAACATTCTCCGGGATAGATCTCATCCTGGGTCACAAATCAGGTCTTAACTGGGACCAAAAGATTGGGATCACCCCTGCATATTTTCAGATCACAATGCTCTGAAGCTAGAACTCAATCACAAGAGGAAAGTTAGAAAGAACTCAAATACTTGGAGGCTGAAGAGTACTAAAAGAGTACTAAAATAAGTACTAAAAGAAGTACTAAAGAAGGAATGGGTCAACCAGGACATTAAGGAAGAATTGAAAATATTCATGGAAACAAATGAAAATGAAAATACAACTGTTCAAAATCTTTGAGACACAACAAAGGCAGTCCTTAGAGGAAAGTATATAGCAATACAAACCTTTCTTAAGAAACAAGAAAGGTCTCAAGTACACAACCTAACCCCACACCTAAAGGAGCTGGAGAAAGAATAGCAAAGAAAGCCTCAACCCAGCAGGAGAAGAGAAATAATAAACATCAGAGCAGAAATCAATGAAATAGAAACCAAAAGGACAGTAGAACAAATCAATGAAAGTAGGAGCTGGTTCTTTGAAAGAATTAATAAGATTGATAAACCCCTGGCCAGACTTACCAAAAAGAAATGAGAAAGGACCCAAACTAATAAAATCATGAATGAAAGAGGAGAGATCACAACCAAC